ATCTTCTCGCAATATGCTATATTTAAAAGATAAAATAATTATGGAATAACGCCTTAAGAAATGAAGGCAATATTTCCACCAATGAACATAACCACTCAAGGAAAAATGCCCATGCCCTGTCCAAAAGGAGACTCAGACAACACCACAAAGTCAAGTCGCCATGCCTGGCATGATGCTTCCAAGCTCACCTCCAAAGTGACGGAACTTTACAAGGTATGAGGAAAAATTCAAACTTGATCAGAAGATTTCCATGATTTTCTGAGTATACATCTATTCAGGTATCTTTTCTATCTTGTTGTGATGTCTAGGCCATTTTCTTCTCACAAACTTGCTCATGGACAAAATTAAGGAGACCAAGGACAGTGTTTGTCAATCTCTCCTTCATTGCGCATATTGCCTTTTACAGCGGTGGAATCCAGTTCTCACACCTTAATGACAAAGCCTGGTACACCAAACAACTCTCGTTTCTCGTGAGCAGTTCTGATGATTAGGGCTAGTTCTATATAGAATGGCTCGTTGTCATTTGGTATATAATACTATATATATATATATGAATAATTAAAATATATTTTTTATTGCAAGAACCACTACTTCCTTCTAACTGTAAGAAATTTTTGGCTTTTTTAAATACTATAGAATACCATTATCTACATAAAATATAAAACTATTTTTAATAAAAATTATTGAAAAGGAAACATATTTTCAGCTGGGATTTATATCAGTTGTAAGATGGATGTTGTAGAAAATGCTATTGTTGAAGACTAAAATTGATTTAGAAATTTTTTCTTATAAAGACTCTAAAAAATTGTGATATTTTATTATATCTTCCTTTGGATGGAGCTTCACTTTCTTCAACTTCTTTGATTCCTCCTACAGGTGGTTATGGAGCTGGGAGGCAATGCTCCATGCATGGTGGAAGATCTTGTTCCAGACTTGGAAGGTACAATCGCTAAGTTGGTCCACAAAGGATTCTATCAAAGCGGCCAGTCATGCATTCACATGCAGCGTCTTTACGTGAAAGGTGAGGTATCCAACACTCATCTTTAAATTCTATCATATTCTTTGTTCTCAAATTGAGCTTTGATCTAACGTATTTGGTGCTGGTTGTGTACATTGATTGCTGCCATTAAGAAACTCAAAGGTGGAGATCCTCGCCAAGACGACATGTCAATCTGGCCCAAGTCATTGGCAGCTACAGTGGAGAAGAGCGTGAACGAGACAGTGAAGGCAGGCACCAAACTTTTAGTTGGTGGTAAGCGAAGGGGAGCTTTCATGGAGCCAATGATCCTGGAAGACGCTCCCTTTGACACAGATGCAAAGAAGGAAGAGATTTTCAGTCCAGTGATCCTTCTCTACTCATACAAGTAAGCTCTCAAAGTTTCTTAGCCCCTGAAGTTCTTCTTTACTTCCTTTTTTTTCTCTAAACTAAAACGGTGGTGACGCAGTGATTTCAAGGAAGCCGTGAAGGAAGCTAACAACACGCATTATGGTCTCCAGGCCAGCGTCTTTATGCATGATCTAAACAAGGCCTTCTATGCGTTTGAGCACATAGAGGTAGCTTTGCGTTTGAGATATAGAAAGTATTGATCGATTGTTTGATGATTATTTGATCCTCACAGGCTGGAGGAGTTTGCCTCAATGATTCGCCAAGCATGCGCGTTGATAGCCAGCCATACAGTGGGATCAAAGACTCTGGAATCCAACGAGAGGGTGTCAAGTACGTGATGGACGACATGCTTGAAACCAAAGTTTTAGTCATGTGCAATGTAGGCAACGTTGCCATGGCTCTTCCATGCCATGGCCTTGAAATAGGAGGAGGTAACTTTCGTGAACACTTGGAGTCTGCAACCATGGCTTGAATCTCACTGCAGATTGCTTCAGCAGCATGTGTTTGCAAGGGCCGGGAAGCTGAAGGATTCCAAGGGGATGCTGGGCAAGAGGAGTGAGAGAGTCTGCTGGGAGCTTGTCGAATGTACTGGGATCTAAGCACTGCCTTGCAGACGGCACAGGATTTGGTGGTTGTAACAAGGATCTTTTTTCATATATAATGTTTGCAAAAGGTGGCAGTTAAGTTTTTGAAGTGTTTTGTAAAATTGGGAGAATGTTTTGATATATTTGAGTGTGTATTTCTTTAAAAGGAGTGGAAGCTTTAAAGACACAGCTTTTCAAAACTTGGTTTGTTTGTTTGTTTCTTTCTTTCTTTCTATTCTTGTTTTCATCTCTCATTTTTCAAAACATCTATTTCCGATTTACCTGAAAATCAAAGGCCTACATATGAATGAATGAGTGTTTTGGAAGTTAGCTGTATAGTTCTCTTGTGCTATTTGACACATTTCTTGTCGCC